AAGCAACCTACAGACTAGATAACTAAATAACTAACGTGAACTGATTCAAAAGATTTGAATCACTGAACAAAGTTAAGTGAATTATTTATTGACTCACTCAACACAAGAAACCTGCAGAAGAGGTAACTAAGTGAATCAATGAACAAATCTGAAATGATTCAAAAGATTTAACTCACCGAATCTAGGTGAGTGAATGGTTTGAGTCATTCATAGCATGCCAAAAAATCTGAAGAGAAAGTAACTCAACAAATCAATCAACAAATCTTAATAGTGAACTGATTCAAAAGATTCAACTCTACAAAAACAAAAAACTACAGAAAACTATTCAAAAACTACAGAAAAGGTAACTAAAATTAATAAAAGAAACCTACAGAAAAAAAGTTACTAAACAAATCAATGAACAAATCTTTGTGAATTGATTAAATTTTTTTTAACTTAATATAGCTGAATAAACATGAAAAATGAATGAATAAATCTTATTAGTGAACTGATTTAAAAGACAGACTCAACCCTGAAATAGAAAAAAAACTACATAAAGGGTAACTAAATTAATAAACGAACAAATATTTTTGATGAACTGATTCCAAATATTTGAGACACTGAATAAAGCTCAGTGAATTATTTGTTGACTCATTGAGATGTATCTAAATACCCACCACGAGTCATTATTTTTGCAATTCCCATTAGTGACTCTAATTCTATACAGGATTAAAGAAACGTGTCAGACTACACAATAAAGCCGCATCTGACATCTTTGACTAGATGTTTTCTCACACCTTTTAATTCACAGTGATTTCCTCTGGCATTTCCAGTAATTGCCCTCTTTAGCACGTTGACTCTCCCTGCGGTGAACTGGCATTGTACACACATGCTCGCCGCCGGCGTCTCACATTAGCTCTCTACAGCTCATGGCTGGCCTTTGAGTCTAATGATTCATTTACTCTCCCGCTTAACCTCACTTGCCTATATTTACAATCACCTAGAGACTGTAACTTCATTTTCCAGCCTTTGGAATTCCAATCAAGTCCAGTCTCGCGGACGTGCCTAAACTCGTCCAAGCCCGTGTGCAATGAACCCACTTGTGAACCGTGCAGTCATTTCCGACCCCTTGTGAAACCAGGCTAAGCTGTCGACAGAAATGAGCAATAGTAATGAGAGAAGAAGAGACATTGGAGAAGGTGAATTTGTTGTGACTGGAGCTGTCTGACCTGCACAACCTTTTGTTATCTAAGACACATTTATGATGTTGGCCTTTCTGCAGGCTGAAATTTGTCCCAGCTCTCTTAGCTGCCAAAAAAAACCCATTCTTAACAAATACTTGTATCTACTTTTTCAGTAAAAACATCTAAAAATCTTAAAACAGATGCTTAAAATTCTAGTCATTGTGTGTATTTTAGGCGGAGGATACTTCAGCATGTGTCTAGTAGCAATGTCATATTTGTGTTCATGTGCCATTTTTCTTGTTTCTTCCATCATTTCTCAGAGCAGAGCCAGTTAGCCGTTAAGTCTGGACAGTGCAAATGGTCTGAGCATTTGTTTTTCATGGCAGAGGTTAGACAGCAGCCACATCTTATCTAAATATGGACGTTGAGATTTATGGAATAGCACGTTGGTATGGAAAATGTCCATCTGACAAGGGCTTGAATTATATAAATTGCTTGGATTTCAATTGAATTTGTATTGGGATCTCAACATGAAATCAAAATTGACCCAATTCAATTTTTATAATGCACAATCCTTGGCAATTTGTGTACCTTATTTTCAAAGGTCAATAGAAATACAATCATTAATCAAAAATGACATGCTTAGCCTCCACAACAAGTTTCCTTTTGTTTACTATTATAAATAAAATAAAATAAAAAATATATTTATTAGTGCTGTCAATCGATAAAAAAAAATTGCTAATTAAATATAATATAAAATAAAATAAAAATTCTGAAATTAATCGCGATTAATCCCACCTAACATTAGTTTTTAAATATACTTTTATATTGCAATAATTTCACATTAAATCTTCAAATGAATGTACAAACAACATAAAGACAGTATATTTTTAATATGTGTTCTTTTAATATTTAAAAGATATATAATACTTTTAATATTCTTTTTTTATGACTGAAGGCCATATCACTGAAACCGATACTGATGTCTCTATAAAATTATTTTTCCCCCTAATATTTAACCATTGACTACAGTCATTCAACATTACAGTATAACTGAGAGCTATCAATTTTAACATTTATTAGACTTTTAAAAAATAACTTCTAATTTAAGTGAACTTAAAACAATCTTCACATTAACCCATTATAATAAATGTCTTCCTCTTTTTTCTTTGATTAACAGTCATCACAGCAGCTGGTTATTTGGTTGTTTACCTGCTATTTCTTTAAGAGCTGCCGCTGCTAAACGTGACGCGGATCTGTCACGCATCGTATTTTCTAGGGATGCACCGATACCACTTTTTCCAGTACTCGCCCGATACCGATACTTTTATTTTTGGTACTAGATGGGAAATTTTTGAAAACCATTTCAGAGACATGTTCTTAAATGTGACAAAATATATTACATGCATGCACAGTTTTAAGGCAGCTTTAATCACCTTTTTGGTAACTTCATGACTTAACTGACCACGACACTGCATGCACATAGTTTATTTCGCGCTTTGATAGGAAATGATAGAGGGTACTGTGCGCGGCGGCGCCTTTGTGCGTGCAATTGAAGAGCACACGCTACGAGCACAGGACCGTTTCCGTGCTCGTTTGACTCACGTGTGGCGCTGAAGTGAAGTTGGAGCGCTAGTCTGAAAAGTCTCCGGTTTGATGTGCTCGTAAAGACATTCTGCGACTGAATAAATACACTTCTTGTCAAGAGAAAAAGTGACAGAAACAGCAGTTGTGAGTGGGGTGGCCAACCCTAACTCCGCCCCTGCATTAATTGCGTTAAATATTTTTAACGCATTAAACTGAAAAAATTAATCGCCTGCGTTAACGCGCTAATTTTGACAGCACTAATATTTATATACATTTAAAATCTTGAAAAGCAAAACCTTGTTAATTTACTGTTTCAAAAGAGAGGGTTTGGTTTTTTTACTTGGCAGGATTCTTTTTGCAATGCAAACGGCTTTTCACGTTGACTTTTTCAAGTCATTTCCGTAATAAATACTTAAACGGGAGGAATCCCAAGACCAGCTCTGCATCATTCATTGTCATTTTCATTTTTTATCTAATGGCAGGAAACAAATTGCATCCATTCTTGGATCATGGGGTTGGAAATTCCTCAGTGATTCTGGCGAGGGAAGTTGTTACACATCTCTAAACCGATCTGGAGCATTTTTTGAGCCTTAATCGCAGTTTAATCAAGGGAGCTTCAGGGTGTCATAGCTGTCCTCCCAAATCAGATGCAATCTATCAAACAAAAAGCCTCGTCCTGTTGTTTTTTTTCTTTCTTTCTTTGATGATCTCAAAGAGAACACATTCCAAGACATCCTGTAGTTTCTACAAAGCACACAGTGAAATGCTCACATGTTGCTGAACGCCAATGTGCAACTCAACAGGGCTCTAAAACACACGCACCCCTTCGCACCTCTGGAATTGCCTGTGGGTGCAAAAAAGTGGCACAGTAGTAGGTAGGACTAGCTGCCCGACACAAACACATCACCAATATACACAATAATAGCTGCCATACGGAGCTCAGAGATGATGGAGAGGACTAATCAGCGGCTCAGTTCCAAATCCTAGTGAGCTGTCTACGTAGGAAGAACAATTTTAGGTTCCCTAAAGAACGCTTCAGTGAACAGATCTTGTAAGAACCATTTTTTGTTTAATGTGAAGAATCTAAATAATCTTTTGTTGAATGGAAAGGTACCGTGGATGTTAAAGGTTCTTCATGGAACCATAGATCTGCATAAAAGAACCTCTATTTTAAAGTGTAGAACACCAAGGCTGTTCCAAAAGGTAGACAACATAATCATGCTGCATTCTTTGGTCAAATTATGAGGCAGTTTCACAGAACGACAAAAATGCATTGTGACAAACTCAGTGGAAAAAAATCCATCCAAGATGGAAATGCAGAAATTTGATTTGATTCAATACAAGAATATACATATAAGTGCTTAGTATTTTTATACTAATTAAAGTGTCACATTGTCAGTTTAGCAACATGTCAACATCAAACTCTACTAAAAGCAACTGTCAAGATTCAGCCAAATTTACCATTGCTCAAAATCCAGTCATTTCAATAGGAATCTGTGCAATTGGAAGTTTCATGCGAGGGAGGAACAAGTTCCCAACACAGATTTCAAATTCCCCTTTGGCCAAAAGAAAGCGGTCATCAACAATGGGTTTTTTTTTGTTTGTCCACAAAATTTTGCTAATGTGAATGCACCTTAAGTCATAACACATGTGCACTTCCCATGAGTTTCTGCCAATGTAGAGTGTTCCAAATCAATCACTTTGAGGTTCCGTTTAAGATTGGGATGCTGCCTTAGAAGCATAGGCATAAAATAAAGGCAGCTCACTAGGTTTTGGAACAGAGCGAACAAAATATCCCTAACTATTTGCTAATCACATACACTCAAAACACCCTTCAAAATGGCACTATCATACAGGAAATGTCATACAGGCTTAATTTTGCGGAGGGAATTCTAGAACAAGGAATAAGTTGGCCAAGCCAAACATGTCCTGGGACATCATGCAGTTATTGTTTTTTTTAGATTTCAAAGTACGCCAATACCCTTCCCCTACCAGAGGGGCTTGTCCACTATCAAGGCAGAAAAATGTCCTCTGTGATAAGATTTGTTTGGTTTCCAGACAGAAACGTGATGGTGGATTTGACAAAAGGAGCCAAACCTGTATAAGCAGACACAACCATTTAGGGAAGTTCTGAAGACTCACAACTTTGTTCTGGAAGCACAAGTCTCTCTCAACCCAATTTCAGTGTTACAGACATTTTTGCCTGTTAGAGTGTCTAACATGACAAATCAAGCATGCTTTGTTTCTTACCTTAACCTCACACTTCCGGTGGCAGGCTAACCGGCAAACTGCAAAGAGAAAGAAAAAACAACAAGCCATTATTTTTACACATTTAATAAATTCAACAGTGTATTTTAGAAACTTTGTTTACTATTACTCAGGGGGTCTAATTAGGATTTAAGTAAATTGTGGGCTTTCTTGGGCAAAATAAAATAAAATAAAACACATTTATTTATAATTTACTATAAATATTTTTTATTATACACATTTTGTTTATTATAACTGAGGGGTCTAACTAAGTAAGCACACTGGGGGCTTTCAATAGAATAGAATAGAATAGAATAGAATAGAATAAAATAGAAATGTACTTCAATAAATATTAGAAATATATTTTATTACATAATTTTTGTTTACCATTACTGAGAGGCCTAACTAGGATGTAAGCATTAAGCACATTACAGGCTTTCTTTGGCATAAAAAAAAAAATTTTTTTTTTAATTAAATTAAATTAAATTAAAAAAAATAAAATAATTTTACAAAATAAAATAAAATAAAATAAAATAAAATACTTATGTACTTCAGAAAAGATCTTTCCCTTTAACGTGTTCTTTCTCAACTTTTTGCACTGCAAAACTTGTTTACTCTGTTCTGTCAAATAACATTTCCATTAGAGACTTGACATTACGCAGCACCCTTTACATCAGACTCTCACATCCCGCCTTTCTGTTTGCCACAGTGGTTGAGCTCAGTCAGGGCTGAAACCACCATAGACATGGATAAGGACATGTTCCCCACAAGATTATTCAGATTAATGGTCAGTCATTATGGGTTTTCAATGAACATTATCTGTGATTCATGTGAAATGGAGGAAAAGCCTTCAGACGTTTATGACTGATGTAAAGCTGCTCGACACAACAAAAGTTGTTTGCCAAGACTCAAGTTCTCAATGTTTATATTATCATTTCTGGACAGAGCCACAGACCACCAAAGCAGAAAACTGTATGAGACTTGCTATTCTTCAGCAAATATTTGCAATAAACAGTGTAGTACATTCACAACTGTTAATATCTTGGTCTTGAATTGTCAGATGATGTTTCACTGTTATGTAAACTTTAGCTTGCTGATTTCGCACTCTGTGACAATTTATCAGACAAAAAACTTACAAAAGCTCTATTTTTATGGGATTTGTTTTTTTTCCTCAGAAGGTTAGAAAAATGTTGTTTTGCAGATTTACATCATATCAATCCGGTCCAAAGGTTTTGTTTGTTTGTTTGTTTGTTTGTTTTTCCCCCAAATTTAGTAAATTACATAAAAAATGATCTACTGTCTGGGGCACCTTCATTATTTAGATATTGTTGGTTTGAGAATAGAATAGAATAGAATAGAATAGAATAGAATAGAATAATTTAGATTAACAATAAAGCATAAGTAAAATAAAATAAAAATAAAAACAATTATAAAATAAATACATGCAATATAAATGATGTAAAAGCATAAATTAAAGTAAAATTTAAAGTAATAAATAAATTTTCTATTCAAGGAAATCACAGCTGTCCTCAATTAATAATTGTTACTCAAATGTCAGTTAGGAAACTGATCCAGTCGAAATAGTCTTATAGATTTTCAGAGAACATAAAGAACCTCCTATCCGAGCCCATTCCAATCCATCTCATACAGGTACAGCACACTTCAGCCCAAACGCTCCTGCTCTTCTTACACAGAGCCCACTCTGTTCCCCATCTCTGACCTGCCATTCCACAGAGAGGGGCGGAGCCTCAACAACAGAGGATCTACACACAACCAGGGTTTTTTAGTCACTAAGGTGATGAAACGTATCCAAAGCCCCACCTAATATCTCTCAAACTCCTCTAATGGTGAGACAACTACAACTTTTTTATATCTATGTGTCTCTGTTCTAAAACCTAGTTAGCTGCCTTGTCATATACTGCCTTGTTATATTTTTCTTCACATGGTGCAAAACAACAAAAAACTTTTCTTAGCCTTTAATTTATGTAATTTTGTCTTGTTTTTATGGAAGCTTGATTCCGCCATGGGATACTGAAAAAAAAAGGTAACTGCGACTTTTTATATCACAATTCAGACTTTTAATATCACAATTCAGACTTTTTTCTTGTAATTCTGAGTTAACATCTCACATTTCTGACTTCCGAGAAGCAGTAAGTTGTTCAACATTTATGTTTAGACAAAATATCTTGTAAAAAAAATTGTTTATTTTTATTTTTTTATCTAACTACCTTTTATCTAAAGGTTTATTTATGATGTTAAAATCCTTCAAACATCAAAATATGAACTGCAAAACAATTAAAATCCTCATTATTGATGCATATATATCACACTGGCTTACACAATTTTGCAACTCAAACAAATTTTTCCTGTTCTAAAGACCTTCAGATATCCTGCAGAACAAGACAGGAACGTTGATTAAGAACATGTTTCTGCAGTTCATAAGTGACCGATTTAGGATATTCTAGAAACTAAAATGTTTTCTTAATCAGCATTTTTTGTGTTATTTTATATTATTAATATTTGAGCAGCAAAAACATATAAGATATCAAACAGTACAATCTTGCTGCCTAGCTTCTAAAGTCTGTTTTAGAAACTAAGCATGAAGATTGTACTTTGGGAACGTGCCTATACAGCCTTAAATGCTCCCTATGCAGGCAGCTCACTATGTTTTAGACCAGAGCCCATCTTCCTCCTCGGGCCCTCTATTACCCTCTTTTGAAATCCAGGTCACAGCATAAAAACACCAGACTGGAGGCTCATACTACTCACAAATTCACTCAGATGATTCCTTTAAGAGTGTGAATCTAAAGTGCTTTGGAAAAATCCAGAATTTCAAAGAGTTTAAAAATATGTGCTTATTCTGGAGTGGACTGTACATTATGTAATATTGCCTTTTTCCTGTCTTGGTTCACATATTTCTGTGCATACGTTATATTTGCAGTGTTTATTTTCTTAACTCATTGGTTTAGTCTTTGAGAAAAGTAGTGAACATCTCAATAGGGTAAAACTGAGCATGGGAGCCTTTCAGGAGTGGTAGGAAAAAAAACGGTATTTTGGCTTCAGGTCTGCATAGTTATTGGCTTTTTCATTTCAGGATATTTTCATTAGCATGTGATCCTCCTGTTTGGGAGTGTGTCGGATGTAAGACAGTTTAAAAGACTGATGAGTGTTTCATTCTGGTGTGGGTTAGTGGTTGAAAATCTGGACTGGTTATGCAAAAAGGTTGCAGGTTATGTATTTGGCAGACACTTTCATCCAAAGTGACTCACAAGGTGTGCATTAATCACTTTGTCAGGTTGTGTGGTCCTTGGGAATCAAACCCACGACCTTGGCATTGCTAGCGCCATGCTCTAGTAGTTACAGAGCTACAGGAACATCTATGCCAGAAAACGGTGATTCATGAGCAGCCATCATAGAGAGCAAAGCACTTAACCCCAGATTGCTCCTAAGGATTGTACCTGTAAAACAAAGTAAAACGCAAAAAGAGGCCATGCTTTATAATGATTCTACATGTGTAAGAGGTGTTCATCTGTAATGCACAGCCTCGAGTGGCTTGATGATGTGATAAAAGTTACCAATGGTGAATAAGTAAAATGCATAAATAAATAAAGGAGTGATTTCATGGTATAAAGTAAACATAATTAAATAATGGAATTGTTAAATACATCACGGAATTTTGCAATAAATAAAGTAATAAAATCATATTATAAAAATATGTTATACTAATATATATATATATATATATATATATATATATATA